ATTACTTACAGTCCACATGTAGGTTTCACGGAAACAATTCACCTCCATAAATTTCCCATTGACAGTTACATTATGAACACCAGTCGACTCAAAGCAATCACAGGAATGGGAACATCCTGTTGTATAGAAAAAAGACGGAATCGGGTCATAACGCTTACAAAGACGCAAATAGGTATGGATATTCTAACTTAATGTATATGACTGAAATAATTTTATTATACCTTATAATGGGAGTATATTGAGGGTAAGTTACAAATGTTAGCCATTTTTTTCGTAAAGAATTTCATTATATTTACTTTATAACTTTAATCTTGATTGTGACCCTATCCTAGCTGTCGGGACCTTGTATTGAATATAATACAAAAATAGGTCTGCTAATAAAGGGGAACAATTCGTACGCATGGGATTTCCAACAGGTTGTTGGAAACCTTGGTCTCCAAAAACTACATAGGTATCGTCAATCGAAACACAAGCATCATTTTAATATCAACTTCGGAGTACTTGTGTGTATAAATTCTTTATTCTACTATTCTTTTAAAAAAGAAGAAAATTTGGTTCTAACAATTCACATCCAAAGTTTGACATAGTCCACATCGTGGTTTCGCCAGATTCCTTAGACCATGGTACATACATTTGAATCACACTTTCTTTGAATGTTCCTCATTTACTTTATTAACAGCCATGTTCTTTTTTCAGAAAAATACTTTAAAAGAAGTGTTCCTATCTATTCCTACGCAAAACTCTGACTCCAAAAATGGTCCCAGTAAAATCCCATGGGTTTATTGGTTAAAATATTCAAGTGCTATGTGATTATGCGTCCCGGTTAAAGTTTTGGGAGCATGTCTATATCGCCAAGTACATGTAACTATAGGCCTATTTGGTTGAATGGTGTATCAATGATGCACAGTTTTAAATTTGCATTATTATACATTAGAGCACATTGTAATTTATGCAAAAAAAGCTTTTCCAAAAACTGCCAGAGCCATTTCCTTATAAATACGATGCATTATGTTCAATTACAGATGTGGATCTCATACGCATTAACATTGTGATGTTTAAAAAAAAAAAAAACAGAATATACATCACACGATTAATTTTTATCTTTTTCAAATGATTACGATATTGGTGTGTGGCAATGATAAGATAATTTGAGGTAATTATTTTTTAATCAAAAAGGGCCAGTGACAAGATCAAGAAAAGGATCCTGACCAGAAGGTGTAAGATGTTACCAGACAGATGGCAGGTATAGTGTTCCCTATGTGGTCCCCCCTTTTTACCTAAGTCGGTATCAACGAAATACAAATTAAGAAAATATAAATATAGTTTAGTTCATAACATGATAATCTGTTTTAAAACAGTAAAGTAAAATTATTTTCGGTACAATTTTTGATGTAAGTACATGTACTTTTTTTTTTTTTTTTTTTACAATTTTTTTATACAATGAGATCAATATTACTTACCATTTATTCTCCTTATTTTCTATACGGCATGCATGAAATGGAAAGAGGGATTATTAAACATTGCCAGTAACAAAACAAATACTTGAAATACGAAAGAGTTGTATTATAAAAAGGAAAAAATATAAAATGTTAATATACATTGAAATACAGAAAAAAGATGTACATGTATGTATATTCTTCCCGATGCCCATTTTAATGAAAAGGATTACGAGGTAACATATGGTCAAATCTTAAACTTATAAAAGAACATATAACTCATAATAGGTGACAAGAATTATATCACTTATTCTATGAAGCGTTCATTTACAATTGATTTAAATGCTATATTTTAATCATACAAATTAATGTTGTAAATTTTACCCATCTTAAGTATCGATAGAATATTCCCAATAACTGTAGTTGGTAAATAAAAAGAAATCTTGATATGTAATTAACAAATTTACATTTCTTACAAATATATATTTCAAACTATGTGTTTAAGAATTTTGAAATATTGTAAAACAGAAAACATGGGGGTGGGGAGGGAGGGGGGAGATAAGTGTGAAAGTATATTGCAGGAGTTGGCATACCTTTGTATAACGTGAACACTTAGTCGCCACGTGCACTGGATGAGACCCGTTGTTTCTAAATTCCTCTCCCCACAATCGGCAGTATTTGGGGGTTGTGTTACAAAGTTCCACACCGTAACACATCCCTGACTGTGCACAAACTGTGGCACACTGTATCAAAGGACTACCGAGTCGATTAATTTCAAACTCAGAAAAAAAGTCAGAATTTTGATACATCTCCACTTCTGTGGAATATGTAAAAGTAACTTCCATGACTTCGAATGAATACACCGGTAAAATTAAGAAAAATGTCAAAATGACCATGTTTTCTAAAAAATAATGTAGATGATATATGAGTCAAAGAAACGTCTACGTTAAAGGGTATAACTGAATTTATTGACGTTGGGTGAAAACATTTTCATTGGTTTATGAATTTTGGACCCATCATTTAATATGATTTCCTACTTACTACAAAGATAAGATCAGATGACATATTGCTTTTGACTCTCTTTGTAATGGTAACCCAACAACAAACGTACTACATTGTTTTAATTTAAAAGGTTTCCGCATCAATATATATCATGAAATATGTCGGAATCCACTTTTATGAACATACACGGAGTTTCTTTGTATCTTATTCATAAAAACCACATCACAATTGTAAAAAGTAATGAGTAAACCTTGTTACTAAGGTAAGGATCGGCCTGGAGATATTCCCGTGATATCTGTTGTGCTGGAAGTAGAACATTTACAATATTTACACTTTTTGATGCAGACCTTATGATCATGCAAATATTTGCAAGATATGATGCAAAAAAGGTAACATCAATACAGAAAATTATTTCTTTAATATTGCTCATTAAAGTGCAATTTATTTTCAAAACATATTACTAGAGAAAAAATCTATGCTACTAAAAGAAACGTTCTGTTTGAACTTTCATAACTGTATACAATGTACGTGTGAATGGTGGACTCATGTGCTATCATTACTACATTGTAGTATCATTGATGATAAGCTATCGATACTACATTATAGTATCATGGATGATGTGCTATCGATATTACATTGTAGTATCGTGGATGATGTGCTATCGATACTACATTATAGTATCATTGATGATAAGCTATCGATACTACATTGTGGTATCATGGATGATGTGCTATCGATACTACATTGTAGTATCATGGATGATGTGCTATCGATACTACATTGTAGTATCGTGGATGATGTGCTATCGAAACTACATTGTAGTATTACATATATATGTTTTGGTCTCTGAAAGGATTTCTTCTCTCTTTCACACAGAGACAACAAACATGGCAAATATTACAATTTTCATCTCTAAGGTATTATACAGTCTGTATAAATGATCGTCTTTTCTTTAAAAAAAATATAATAGAATTAACTACAGAGTGTATATCAAAAATATGTCTTATTATATCTCAACATATCTCAACAAGTCTCTACAGCCCAGTAATCTAGAACTTCGGTACTAGCTTGAAAATACGGATATATATTTAATTGGTGTGGTAAAATTTAGAAATTTATTTAGAAATTAAGGATTATCTCCCTCATGCATAGCTCTGATCCTTTGATGTATTTGACTCCAGTCTTTGGCACTTTTTCAGCACCTAAGATATATATGAAGTGACAAAGTGATGCTTTAATAAATAACAAATAATAAACGATCAGTTTGGTACATTAATTTTAAAACTGCGGTTATAACAATTATTTGCTGCTGACCTACATCTTTGCAATACCTAAACCTTTGACCTTATGTTAAGGAGTCTTTGACAGATTAGAAATGGAAAAGAAATACCAGAGGTAGGTGTATCTTTGTTGTAATATAGCGTTGAAATATTAAACAGATTTGTGATAAAAATTTCACGACCATTTTAGATCTCAATGGATTTTGAAGTGTCGATATGCTATGGTTTTGGTCTTGCAAAACACAATATATCATTAAGTGAAATGCTGACTGACGTTTTTATACTAATTGTTAGGTCATTTTTACACGCTGAATTGTCTACGGATTTTCCGTTTTTTCCCGATTATGACAAGGAACACACGGCGGGCATGACAGGTCGGCAGGGGATGCTCACTCCTCCATGGCACTTGATCCCACCTCTGATGTTTTACATGTAGAAGTCCCTGTAAATTGTTCTACTCCCTATATGTATTGTTTAAATGGACTTTGAGCTTGGATACTGTACGTTATCTCCATATTTCATGCAATATTTTGCAAAAATGACTTAATTCAACAGCTAGCATTTTTTTCTCATAAATAATCAAAAATCAAAATCCAGTTAATACGCACATCTCTGGTATGTGTACATTTAAGAACTTGAATATTCTGGACAAATGATGTATGCCTTTTAGTAGCCGCCCGTCTTCCCTCCCACCATTAATTTTCATCTTTTCAATTTTCCTTCAGAAAACCCGGTTAATAATTGTAAGCATCGCGTCTATTGTCAAAGACATGCATTATTATTTGACAGCTCTGTTTGCATACCTGTATATGCCACAACTTTTACTTGGGTAGAAATTGTAATATGATGTATACAACTTCTTAAAGAAATAATTACCGGCCCGGAATTATTAAATATTACTAATATGTATCCCAAGTACCTATGAGGTGCGTAAATAGAATATTCCGGACAATCTACAAAATTCAGGAATACTGTAATATAATTAATGACAATCAATTGAATTTTTGATTCATTTTAGTCGATATTGTGTATATTAAATAATCTTCTTGCCGATATCAGTTGCAAAACTAAATTGTGTAAGAAATTAGTAAGTGAATAAGAACATTTATTGACGAATTTGAATTTCAATTAAATGTATTGTACATGTAAAAACTTGACTTTGAATAAATTAATATATAATCAACTAATAATTGGTGTTTTAACCTAATTTCTTTCAGTAAAAAAAAAATTCAAAAGTATGATTATATTTAAAAATTTGAGAGAAACTCACAAATTTACATGTTATTTGTAAATGCTAAAACGGTGAATCGATGTTGGTATACATTAATCTGTAGCAATTCTTTTCAATTTCATTGAAACTAAATTATACAATTCACTAGTTATCCACTTCATTCTCTCACAGCACACTCTACGGTTTCCGAATCATCATTCTGGTCTCTTTCAAGGAGAAGATGCCTCTGGTTAAGGTGCTCCAGTGGACTCTGTATCCGTACTCTCCGTTTAGGTCCGACATGGTGCAATCATTATACCACCAAGCAGACCGTAGGTACGCGGCACAGTCAAAATTATCAGCCCCGTCGTTATCAACATCAGGGGCGCTGAAGCCCATGCCATGGTGGTATGCCAAGTTATCTCCTGCAGAAAATTAAACAAGTATTCCTACAGAGGATCCGACTGCGAAGCATATATTAATTCCCACTTTTGAAGGCAAGAAAAAAAGCAAGGAAACGTACATAAAAGTAGGGGAAAAACAAATATAAGATCGCTCAATATTTACTCATTACCCCCCCCCCCCCAATGAATAAGGACTCCAAAAGTAAATATTTTCTTGTCAAGAAAACTTGTATTTGTACACCAGGTAACATACATGTACATGTATATATCCAGGAATATGTGTTTAAAATTTTCTTTCGTGCATCAAGTTGAATAATATGGAAAATATATAGGATCATGCATTACACACAAGGCAGGCTGTCAGATCGATAGGTGATTGTAGACAGGACCCCACCCACCAATGATTATTTAAACATTCTTCTGGCAAACATTAACAATGTGTTCAAGTTTGAAAAATTCAAAAATGACGTAGAATTAAACTTTTTTCCGAATGAAAAAAAATCACATTTTGTAGAACATAAAACAATTAAGATAAGTTTTTTCTAATTAAAACATTTATTTTACTTTATTATTATTTTAATTCCAAGCATATTGTTTACATTTGATAGAAGTATAAATCCATGTTAGAAAACAATTTTTAAAAAGCCCGGGGTGTATATACGTATACACTGTATATCGGAGGAAGGGGTCCAGTCAACAAGCACCTCTGCATGCATATTGTCACATATGTTGGAAGAAATGGCTGATTGATCATGTTGATGAAAGGGTAAGAAAAAGAACTACTTATCAATATTTTATTGTTATTTTTTCAAAGAAACTGAATATGTTTCAGCTGTCTAATATATTTACCTGCGTCTCCAGAGTATCCGAAAACAGTAAGTTTATACTTATTTCCCTCGGTGTCCACTGAAAAATTACTATACTCTGCGTATTTCCATTCCCCGTTATTTTCCATTAGGTCGACTCGCAGATAAGTAAGACCCTTTTTTGTTAACAGATGAATATTTTCATTTCCTGTTTAAAGAAGAGTGTATAATTTTTAAGATTAATTGCGCGAATCTTAAAGGTCATGCATGCCACCTTGATACGCGTACTCAAACACTCGGTTGACTAAAGAATTGAAAGTTATATAAAGGAAAAGAAAAGAGATGGTTTGTCCCTAAAATGTTGAAATTATTGCTGCATCTGCACCCGAAAGTCGGTAAACAATATTAAATAAATATAATGTTTTCTCTTCTTTTTTTTTTTCTTTTTTTTTCATATAACTGCTTTTGTGTTTAACCTTACCAAGCCAGAATTCAGAATTTAAGGAACCAAATCCATATTTGTAACTTGACCAATTCCGATTAAACGACACAGAGCCATCCAGCCTTCTTTGTATAACCTATAAAGTGAAAGAAATGTTGGAAAACTGAAACTTTATGAATATTTATTTCTAAAAGACCTTAAAAAATCACACTTGATACCATTTCTACACATAGATGCAACTCGATGAATGATGGTAAAACGAGGTTTTAATCATACTCGTAAAACTAGTTTTTAATCATAAACTTTACTGTAACCGAAAACTTTACTTGTGTCCAAAGTTTATTTATTTTTCTATATCAAAATATACAAAAGCCAATGTCATATCAGTTTGATACAAGATTTCATTCTCATAATTCTAGTTAAAGATAAAATTCCTATATGACAGAAGCTGTATCCTTAATGGTTTGAATATACTAGTAGAAGGTAATTAATCATACAAGTTTTTAAGTAAAACTTCTTTCAATCCAAGCAAACTGCCTTCAGTGAAGCTAGTTTTTTGCCAAAAGAAAACAGAACAGTTTTTGTGATTCCAAAAATGTCATTTATTAAAAATGACGATAAAAATCCACATTATAAAAAATTACTGGGAGGCCAAAAAACCAATATTTCCTGTATTATACATTATAGGTAAAACAGTCCAAAATGAGTACATATTACATAATTACAACAAACATTATACACTGAAATGGCCTCCCAGAACTAGATGATAAAACAAAAGCAAAAAAGGTGGCCAAAAATTCTGCTGCAAAGAGATAACAGACAATACAATATATATAAAAATGAAATACAAAGGTGGTAAGTAAACTGCTGGGGCGGAGGAGGGTAGCAATAGAAAAACACAGCCACTCTCGACAAAACAAAAATGATAATGAAAGATGCTAATCAGCTATTGGATGAAAACTAAATCGAGAGGCCCCCGACAGGGTGCGTTATGTAAATACTTACATAACAAAATACTGTACAATGATTGGGTAAAAACAAAGAGGCCCCTGGTGGGGTGCATTACAAAACATATTACATAAACAAAAAAGGGGGGTTGACAATGAAATAACAAAACATACTAACATATATAATACTTATCAAATACAGGATTCAATTAAACGAACTTTATTTAAAACAATTTATTAACATAAATTTATCTTTATAATGATAATAATATCAGTAATGGGTGTTTAGTCACCCACTTTTGCAAAATTATACATGAGGGAATTTTAATCTTAATAAAGTACCACAGCGCTTTTTTCATACTTTAGGGATACAAACTTCTAGTAGTAAACAGTACTCACAGTCCACATATGGTTTCCACGGAAACACTTGTAAACTTCCATTAACTTTCCATTAACAGTAAGAATTTGGACACCGGTCGAGTCAAAGCTATCACAGGAATGGGAACATCCTAACAGATGTAAAGAAAAAAGGTGATTTGATGCATAAATTAAAATTGGGCAGTCACGAAAAATATATCAATATTCTAGCCCTTAAATTAATCTCTTAAATATACCGATTTTAATCATATGACCGTATTATTATATTCTTGTTTCAAATCAGTACTTTAACACACATTTTTTCCTTAATGGCGCTTGAGTAAATGTGGCGCAAAGATATTCTTTAGACTTAACTTTAGGTGAATAAAAGAAATAACTGTCTTGTCTTGGGTTTATCTTTATGAGGTTAGATGGGTGGATATAATTAATTTGAATGAATACAATTATTCCGTAAAAATATTTCAATTACTTACCATTTATATTCCTTATTTTCTATGAGTGCATGGATATAATGGAAAGAAATATTTTAAAATATCAATAAAAAAAACAAAGACACAATTTAAAGGAGTAATAATCAAAAATAGGGAAAAACGAAAATTAATGTTCACATAAATAAAAAATAAGAAATTTATTTTCTAACTTTTGGCATTTTTGAGTAAATGATTACAAGAAAACTTCAATCCATATGTTGTATGATTCTGTATCTTTTTATTATAAAGCTGCATAAAATTTAGACAACGATTTCTCAAAAACTCTGTAATATTCTTTTTTTAAATATTCGTGAAAAGTGTTTTCATTGTTCAATAAAACATCCAGCCATCATACCCCAAACAATCAAACCCCATCCAAAGCCCCCCTCCCCCCAACCCACGAAAAGATGAAAATATAAATAAATAAAAAACAAAAAAAAACTAAAGTCACGACACAAACATAGTTGCCAAATTTACGAAAAAAGGACGTGTCAGAAATGCTATCTTTTCCGAATTGTGTTTCGTAGAACGCGGGGGGGGGGTGGGGGGGGGGGGCAGGCCCCCACTTTTTTCTGAGGAAATGGACAGTAAATTATTTTTTTTTAGCTTGTCAGATAATATTGGGAAGTCCCCCCACTTTCGATCAGGTTAGTTTTTTTTAGCTTGTCAGATAATTTAGAAAGTTTCAACCTTTTTTTTTTTCTTTTTTTTTTCTTTTTTTTTTTTTTTTTTTTTTTTTTTGGGTCAGTTTTTAGGGGTCAAGTTGCCCACCCACCCTCTTTTGAAATCGTTGCTGCGGGCCTGTTGGGATGGTTCGTTCCATGTTTTTCTGTTATTAAAATATTCAGAGTTAAACATTGAGTGTTTCTGCAATGTTCTGTGACCTATGTGAGACTTTCGGCTAAAACCCAACAGTGGCTTTTGTTATAATAGAAACTGCATTCAATAGATTCATTAATGAGGCGAATAAAAGGAAATATTACTAAGTGTCAACCGTTTACTATTTTTTTTAATATCACTTAGTCAGCCAGGATTAAAACAATGTTGATTTACAAATTATTTTAAATGCATGAATGTGTAATAATCATTCCAACGAACATTGTTTATTTTATCCTTTTTCAAGACAGAGTTCAGTCAAAATATTGGCAAATAAAAAAACCTTGGTAAGTAATATAACAAATTAAGAAATGCATTTCTTTTTATTTCTTTTTTTTTCAAAAGCACGAGTTCAAGAATTCAAAATATTAAAACCAGATGTGATTGTATGCTTTAACAAACGGCATACCTTTGTATAACGCGAGCACTGGGTAGACGATGGATCTGGACTATCTTTAGTGAATACTGCGCCCCACAGTCGACAGCGTTTTGGGGATGTGTTACAAAGTTCCACACCATAACAGACCGCTAATTTTGCACACACAGAGGCACACCGTAGTAAACGACTCCCCGGTCTGGTTAATTCAAATTCAGAGAAAATATCAGAATTTTGCTTCATTGCCACTTTTGAGGAATATGGAAAACTGAAATCCATGACATCAAAAGAATACACTGGTAAAATCAAGAAACATGTCAGAATGTTCATTTTTTTCTCCAAAATAATGTCTGTGCTAAATAACGCCATTATAAAAGGGTATAACTGTGCTATAGAAGTCATGAAAACTCCATTATTAAAGGTATAACTGTTAATATTGACCGTAGGGTGAAAATCTTTCCATTAATTTTGAATTTCAGACAATCCATTTGCAACAAAGCTCGAAATATCATTTCCTACTTATCACAAAGATCAGATGACAGAATGCTTTTGATTCTCCTTGTGCAGAAAACTAATATTATAATATTTGAATTTGAAAGGTTTTCCTGGAAAATCATGTTATGAAATTTGTCAGCTACTACCTTTCCTATTTTAAAACATACATGATTTTTTTGTGATTTTATCATAGACATGGTTAATTGTGACGTGTTATTATCATTTTTAATTAAAACATGTTAACTAAAACGTGATAAATACTCAGTGTAAGCTAAGTCTTTTATGTTATATTTTTTCATTACTAAAATATTGTGCATCCTGTTTATAATTAAATGAAGTTTTTTCCCAGACATTAATAGTAAAATAACGTTTATATTGTTGATCTGTGGATGATCAAAATGCTTTTAATTCTGTTGATAACATCAAACTATGGGAAAAACAATACTTAATTAAAACATACAAGAAATGATGTTTACAATAATTAAATGTCTGTGTGACGAAGTAAAATGTGTAAGGTGTAATGAAACATTTAGTGACTCCTTTCAAAGTGAGATCAGTTTAATACAAGGGAGGAAGGGGTGGGAGGTTGTGCTATACGCTGCTGTTTTAATTGTTTAAAAAAAGATGATTTTCCTGGTTTAGACATACAGGAAATTTTGTTGCATGCATGGCTCTTGTTTCTGAAATCGTGAATGGTTTACAGCATATGTTAGACACATTCAGGCAATATTCTGTCGCATAGAATGTAAAGGTCAACCAAAACAGAGAATGTAGTGTTTAAAAAATAGAGGTAAATATGGCAATCAGAAGTTAGAAGGTTATTCCCTATTCTCTTTTCACTATTCGAATGGCGAACCGCATTCTTTGGCCGGTTCGCTATTCAAATTACCGTAAGTGTCCTAATGATTTTTTTTTTCAAAAAAAAAACCTGAATGACTCAATATAACACATGTTAAAATAGCGAATTAAAGACAACTCTTAAAAAGAGAGACGACCCCAAACCAATGTAGCTAGCCTGATCTAAATGATGACAATGGATAATTTGAATAGCGAACCGGCCACAGAATGCGGTTCGCCATTCGAATAGGGAATAAGAATAGGGAATAACCTTCTGACTTCTAATTGCCGTTTGACTTTGTCTTTTTTTTTTAACATACAAAGAGGTTCTTTGTATCTTATTCACATAAACCACATCACAATTGTGCTAAGTGAGGATTAATCCAAGGTACTAAGGTAAGGATCGTCCTGGAGCTATTCCAGTGATATTTGTTTTATTGGAAATAACATTCACAATATTTGCACTCTTTGATATAGATCCTCTGAACTGACGATTACTCAAATATTTGAAAGATGCAAGGCACAACAAGACAGAAAATTTTAATATTGTTCATTATAAAAGTGCATTTATTTTCAAATACAGAATATTACAAGATTAGTTGGAAAACCATATAAGATGTGTAAGTAAAATCAAGTTGATGAGTTTGATTAATAAAAATAAGACATTTTTATTTCGTTTAAGGATGGCCGACTGGGGTTTTCACTGTGCAATATTTCGCGCATTACAGTGAAATACCGTGTATTTGCAACTCTAAAAATTTTTTTTTAAATATCATTTTTTTTTTATTTGAACAGAATTAAGATATTGCAGATAAAAAATGATTTTATTTAAGAAAATGATATCAATTAGCTATTTTTTTAAATTGATAGGTAGGTGGACGTCGTTATTACACTGTATGTGTTTATGCCGTTATGATAAATTGAAGCTCTTAAGGAGGATGTTTATTTGCTTCAAAATGCAAATAAAAACACTTTCCTTTATAATAGTGTAGTATCAAAATTTTGAGACTGTTACTAAAAATACCCTGACTGTAGATTTTCTTGAAACTTTGCATGTTCACTGAGATCAGTGTAGATTACATATAATATAAAAATAAAGAGTTTCTCTATTGTACTTTTTACACAATAAAACCCCATTCGGTTCCCTTAAAAGCACCAATTAAGGTACATACAGCCTTGTTTTTGGTGACTGTTCCTTTGCAAAGCGATCCGCATTAAAAGTGAAAGTCATGGGCCTATTCTATTAATTCTTTCTTAGTTTAGTATTTTTAAAAAATGATAGTATTCGAACTTTTGGAAAGTGAAGAAGAAACACGTAAGTAAGTCGGATAAAATCTGACATTTTTTAACATCACTAGAAACATCAAACAAGTTTCCCCTAGAAGATTTTCACTTTCATATACATTAGGGTTTCCGAATCATCATGACGACTTCTTTCAAAGACAATACGTTGCTAGTCAAAGTACCCCAATGAACACGACGTCCGTATTCTCCGTTAAGGAATGAATGGTAACAACTTCGAAACCACCAGCCGCCCTCATAGACAGAGGCACAGGAGTACCACTCAGTAACATCAGAAGTGGTGAAGTTCATGCCATTATGGTAATCCATGTCGTCTCCTGAAAAATTAGAACATATTCCATTCAATGAAGTAACAACTCATATTCATATACATTGTACAAGATAACCTAATCTCATAATGTACACAAAAGTCGAAAACCCCAAAAACGAATAACTGATTCCAAGAATTATTGAATTAATTTTTGGTTTCCAAATAAAAAATAAGAAATACTCATGCTTCAGAACTGAAAAATTTATATGAAGAAGACTTGCTTATACACCATGTAACATCTATATTTCATAGTATATATATACATGAAATATTTCCTTTCGTCATTATTCTACGAGGATCATTATTCGTCTTTGTAGACGAGGAGACTTTTAACAAGGTGAAAAGGAGCATTTCTTATTAAATTTTTATTGTATATTAAAGAAAACCAGAAAAAGCCAATCACATTTTATTTGTTTTCTTATTGTTTGATTACCCTTACCTTGTTAAATACAGTGTAGGGATGGTAAAAAAGGAAATAAATGGATCGCAGAGAGACCCTTCGAAAAAAACTGAATATATCTGAGTTGTCAACTATGTTTACCTGCGTTTCCAGAGTATCCGGAAACCGTGAGTTTATACATATTTTCCTCGGTGTCAACGTAGAAATAACGGTACTCCGCGTACTTACATTCCCCATTACTTTCCATTAGGTCGAATCGCAGATAAGTATGACCATTTTTTGTTAACAGATGAATGTTTTCATTTCCTGTTAAAGTATAATGTATTTATTTTAAGGATCATTTGACAGAAACATAAAGACAATAAAAGAATAATTAACTGAGAATTAAGTTATAGAATCATTACATGATGTCGTGTTTGTGTTTTGTCAAAAACCCGGTTGATCAGATTAAAGAAATGATTGAATTAATTGTTCTCTTTTATAATTATTTCATGACTGATTTTGTGTTTAATCTTACCTAGCCAAAATTCAGAAGATAAGGAACCAAATCCATTTTTGTAACTTGACCAATTCCTGTTAAACAAAACAGAGCCGCCCAGCCTTCTTTGTACAACCTATCAAGTAAAACGAGGGCTCGGTTAGGCCTAATAAAGATTTCGTGAATATCTATGTCTGGAGAACCTCAAATATCCATATTGATATAGTTTCGACCAATTGCTGAAACTTACTGGATGACTGTACTTTCGTATCGCGTATAACCAGTCTTAAATCATACGGATAAAGCCAACTCTTTAAATATATGTATAAAACAAGTTTTTAATCCTACGTGTAAAACCAATTTTTGAAATCATTTTTAGATACCTTTTTAGCTTCCGACTTTGCCAAAATGTATTTTATTTAAATATTTTTCCTCTTTGTTGTGAGATATGAGATTTAAATTTTGCAATTTTCAGAAATACCAGAAAACTGTACTTGTATGCCGAGTGTGTGCACTCTTCTCTATCAATCTTTACAAAAGTAAGGGTCACATCACTTAAGTTGATACAACATTTCATAAGTTGATAGCATCGATGTCCATACAGCCTTGCATCACTAATAGTTTATTGATAATACAATCATTATATTGACAAAAATATTTCAGTCATGGATATAAAATAATCCATTCTTGCCACATTCTATAAAGAGATTTTTATCATAACTGGTTACTACAGCGCATTTCATATCATACTTCAGGGATATAGATAACTAAACAGTACTCACAGTCCACATATGGTTTCCACGGAAACACTTATAAACTTCCATTAACCTTCCATGAACAATAAGAGTTTGAACACCGGTCGAGTCAAAGCTATCACAGGGATGAGAACATCCTTTCAGTTGTAAAGAAAAAAAAGAGATATGATGAATGAGTCAACCACTTTTAATAAAAACAAGAGGCCTATGGGTCACTTCGCTCACTTGAGTTACTATAGCACTGCTGCTCTCCATCAGCAGATTTTACCCCTATTTATTCCTATGTAAAATTTTGATCACAAATTGTGGATCCATCCTACCTCTAGGATCATGAATTGAACAAATATGAATTTACACTACCTGAGAATGCTTCCATATCAATATGAGTAATCATGACTCTGCTGTTCTAGAGAAGAAAATTCTGAAAGATTTTTCTGAAGTATTCCTAAGTTATACTTTGGTCGCCCATTGTGGCCCACTCTACTCCCGGGGTCATGATTTGAACAATGATGCTTCCATATAAAATAACTTATCATGGCTTGACATGAGTTGGTTATTTAACTGGTATTTTATTTTCCTTTATACTCCTTTCTCTCGCACAACCACCCTCTCCATTCCTTATACACATACATGTATATACTGATTCTAATCATATGAACGCATGATTATGAACTTGTTATAAATCCATACATTTACTTCTTTGTTGATGTTTAAGTAAATTGTGCCATGAGAAATATTTAAATTAAGATTGAAATGAAAATTTAAGTAAATACCAGTCCTGAATTTGTGTTTTTTGAGTTTAATTAAATGGGAGTGATATAATTAATTTGTATGAATAGATACTTATTCCCTTAAAAAAATCTAAAATACAAACAACATTTATATCAACATTACTTACCATTTTTTCTCCTTATTTTCTACGAGTGCATTGATATAATGGGAAAAGGTTATTAAACAGTATCAGTAATAACACAAGGGTACAATATGAAAAAGCTCTGGTCAAAAAAAGGGAAAAAAGAGATGTAAAACTGCATTTAAATACAAGAAAAATCATATATATATATATATATATATATATATATATATATATATATATATATATATATATATATATATATATATATATATATATATATATATAAAGCACTAAAAATGACCAACGACACGAACAATAATAATTGTCAAATTTTCGGGACAACCTGTCCCTTCCCCAGGACAAAGAAAAAAGTTAAGAAGTCATAAAAACAAAGGAAATAGAGAAGCAAAAACAACTAGCATTTTTAGTGCTTTATATAAATTTCCATCCGTGACCTTGTATCTATTAGTAGATCCGACACTTAGGATATACAGTGTTGTTGGTTTTTAGTGCTTTTATATATATATATATATATATATATATATATATATATATATATATATATATATATATATATATATATATATATATATATATATATGCATTTTTCTTCCCTTTGCCAATTTTTATAAAAAGTGTTGACAAGTAAATTTTTAGCCCATGTTTGACATAATTCTGTACCTTTAAATTGTAAAGTTGCATAAAATTCAAACGTTTTAAACACCTCAAAATATTATGCTGTTCTTCAATTACTGGTAACCAAGAAAAATGTTTTTATTGTTTATTGAAATAAAAGAAGTCAGCATTCGAAACCCACGCACCAAACCCCAACCAAAACCACAGAAAAACTAAAATTCACAAAAAAAAATACATTAATAATCTAAGATAGCACAAAAATTGTTGCCGAGTTTCCAAATAAACACAGAACCTTTCAAAAAATATTACGAGATTTTTTTTCGCAAAAAAGACCAAATTCATTTTTGAGATCTCTTTCCTTCTCAAGATCAGCAAGAACACTTAACAATAGAACTTGAATCCAAAAGAGCAAGAAGTAGTACGTGTCAATTATAATAACACTGAATCCGCCGGTCTTAAAAAAATTAATTAATAATGATTTCAGGGTTTGTACTCAAAACTGTTGTCAGTTAATTCTAAATTTCTTGCTACTTAATTATCAAACAATTCAACAATATATGTGCTAAGTTATATTTATGAAAGTTACTTGTTCAGTGTTTTCTTGTTATATATATATATATATATATATATATATATATATATATATATATATATATATATATATATATATATATATATATATATATATATATATATTATATTATATTATATTATATATATGATAGTGTGACTATGTGATACAACAAACCCCATACCTTTGTATAACGTGCGCACTTGATCGTTACTTGCTCCGTCTCGTCGTTAGTAAATGTTGCGCCCCATAGTCGACAGCATTTTGGTTTTGTGTTACAAAGTTCTACACCATAACAGACCACTGACTGGGCACATACAGAGGCACATTGTATCAAAGGACTCCCAGGCCGGTTTATTTCAAACTCAGAGAAAATGTCAGAATTTTGCTTCATTGCCACTTTTGAGGAAAGTGAAAAACTGACACCCATGACATCGAAAGAATACACTGGTAAAATCAAGATACACGTCAGAATGATCATTTTTCCTCCAAATTTATGTTAATGTGCTTTATAAGTAAAAGAAACGTTATCATTAAAGATGATATCTTTGTCTATTGAAAATCTTTCCACTGATTTTTTTTTTTTTATTTTAGACACTCCAATTGCAACAAAGCTTGAAACATCACAAAATTCACAAAATGCTTTTAACTCTGATACTTACATAAAAGTTCATGCGGATCTTATTCATAAAAAACTCATAAATTTATGAAAAAAGAAAAAAAATTGTGAAGATTTGCCTGGAGCTATTCCTGTAATATCGTTTGTGTTTATTTATTGTTTGAGCAATAGATAAAAAAAACATTTGCACTCTTTGATATAGGCCTCAAGTACTTATGAACGAGCAAATATTTGCAAGCTTTAGTGCAAAACAAAGGCAAGACAAAACAAAATTAATTTCGATATGAATACTGTTCATTGAAGTGCATGTATTCAAGCAAATACTTTTAACGAGACAAAATATATAATGCCTCTCGAAAAAGATAGGTGAGATGTGTTTGAACCATCTAATACTATACTAGTGACTTGTGACTTTTGAATTGATGTTCTATCGTTATCAGATGTGTTTGTTCACTGAAAACTCCTACTCTTTAACAAATAGGTAAGATTATTAGTGACAAGTGTTATTTACAATAGCAAATGGTATCTCATGTTGATATTGTTATTTATTATTTCTAATTAGGACATTAATGTATTTATATGAATCATAGCAAATAGAAGGTAAATATTTTTTACATCACTGAAATATTGTGCATTCTGTATAAATAGTAGTACACGTCTTTCCCAGACATTAGCAAGGAAAGAATTTTATGTGGAAAGATATTGAATGACCAAATCATGATGTTCTGCATATGTTAAAGAAAATTTAAGGATGACTGGTCCATGGTCAAAGTCGTAAAAACTGGGATGTCATCAAGTGGTTACATAAAAGTTTATTTATTGATAATGGTGGGTCTTAAATCGGGGATCAAATTTCTTTTTTAAAAAACCCTTAATATCATTTTCTCCAAAATAGCAAGACAATGTTAGTTATACTTGAACCATCCCCCTTGTATGTCGACTGAACTTATTTCTTTTTTTCTCGGATCTAGAGTGTGTAAAAATATGGGGTCAAATTTTCCATGGGAAGAAAGAGGGTAAGAATCTTCTGATGAGAGTGTGATGAAAATGGCTTATATGGGCCTCTTGTAATTTTCCTTAGCAGCTCCTCGAGAATCTATTTCCAGTGAAGTTTATATTTTCTAAGTAAAGAGCGACGAACACTCTATCTAAAATCTATTATATTTGCATTCATTTCACTAGATATTTCTGAAATCTGACAAGAAATATTTTTCTTGACTAAGATTTATACCTCTACAGTATGCAGGATTCATGGTCGTTTGGTTATAAAGCGTATTTATGATGTATGAAGTAGATGAGTTGATTGTGTATACAGATTAAGATGTACATTTCACAGATAAAGTGTAAATTCTACATATTAATATATAAATTTTACAGAATTAAGTGTAAAATCTGCAGGTTAAAGTGTAAAATTTACAGTAAGATGTACATTTCAAAGATTAAAGTGTAAATTCTACATATTAATATATAAATTTTACAGAATTAAGTGTAAAATCTGCAGATTAAAGTGTAAAATTTACAGTTCTAAGTGTACATTTTACACTTGTAAAATGACAAAATGCTAATCAGCCATTCTACGATAAATGAATCAATTCAGCGTATAAACCATGAAAAAATAATTGTTTCAGATAGCAAAATGAATATCATAATTCTCTAAAGGGCTTATCAGTGAACTTGAAAAAAAATATTGTGCACAAATCTGGTATCGTTAACTTTTTACAACAATTTCAATATACCATTGATTTAAGGTAATGTTACGGAAGTTAATGCTTGATCAAGTCTTTGGTAAATATTTACAAAACCATGTGTGTATGTTAAGTCTTAGAGTTGAAATCGATCTTTAAATTCATAGTTAAGATATTACAACGGTAAATTTGTAAGCGACATAAAAAATTCTTAATTGGGCATGTTTTTGTAGAATGACTGTAATACGCTTCCATAGTACGATGTAACAATGGGTTACATTATAGTGTCGCTAAATTTGATTATCTTGGTATGTTATTTAATTATATTGATAAGTTTTTAAAGACACAAAAACATGTTGCAGAACAGAACAGAAACCCCTTATTTTCAGTTTTTGCGTGTCTAGAAAAATCATATCTTTAATGAAGAAACATAATGTTATGTATTTGTTGCCCATGTAATCAGCAAACTTTCATATGGATCAGAAATTTGGAGATGGCAAAAAGCTGGAGATGTAGAAAAAAATCATGTTAATTTTTATAGGAAAGTGTCAGGTTTTTTGACCAATGGTAGCAACTTTATTTCGTATTGTGAATGAATAAGAGTACCTCTTTTTGTTTAAATATAAATAAGGATTTTTAAGTAATGGGCGAAGTTAAGTATAATTGATAATTGTGTTTTGAAAACCTGCTACGAGGAAATGATCTCAAATAATGATGATTGGATTTCCTATAAGAGTAGCACGATGCAATTAATGTCAGCAGCTTTGAGGAATAGATCTTAAATTTTAAAGATTTTAAAGTAAAACTAGGAAAGAAGTTCATAAAACAGACGCCTTTTCACTAGTGTAGTCAAATCGGGCGATTTTTAGTAAGCAGTTACTCGCAAACTTTTCCGATCGAGTAATCGGTTACTCGGATGGCTTTTCTTTAGACCTATAAACATCCTTGCTCGTAGTATGTGTAATATACAGTATATGCCAACCTATATAAAACACAAATACCCTGTATATATACATTTTCTTCATTTATTTATTTATAATTACAAAAACACTAAAGCTTCTAAGTAAATTTGTTGTCGAATATCCCGTAATAATTGGCTGTTTTTGCGACGTGTCCTTTCTATGCATCGCTGGTCTCAAAGCTATTTTTTTCTAAGGCTGCCTAAAGTTAATTCTACGTTTGAAGTCACCCGCGCGCGTAGGTTTACGCGAAATACTTCGTACGTCTTCTGAAAAATAAACAATTCGAAATTTAAAATATCCATATGTGAAAGAAAATGTGCTGTGAAATCCTAGTCGGTGTCTTACAAGAAGAAAACTGGTGATGTAAATTGTATGTGATTATAAAATAAGATACATGTATAAGTCAAAGGTGATTTTATATTTAAGTAAGGAAAACGTCTGGTTTGGTGAGCGTTTATATCAGTTATCAGATCACAGACTCCCAGTTCGTCATTATTTTTGCTGAACCATTCACTGTATTAGATATTGCTAAGATTTTTAGTTTAAATGCAGATTGTGTTGGAAAAAAAACTATATTTTGCAATATACAGTAAGCTATATCACTTTAAATTTGTTTAATAGTGTCATCTTAAAATATTCGAATTCCTATAAAATTAAAAGAAAAAGTAAGTTGTTATTAATACACATGTAGTAGTATTTATGTAACTATATAATTAAAAGGAATGAAAATTTAGACATCTGCAACATTTTAGCAGGAAGAAGCTTACAGAAGACAATGACTTTCAAGTGAAAGATAGATTTAAGGAATGAGGGTGGATGGGGGTTTTCTAACAACCCTGTTTTGTATGTGGAAGTTAAAGTAAAATAAACTTATAGCCATAATAAAACATTTATTTATCTTCACTTTAAAAAACAAATGCTAGTGCAATGGAAATAACAGAAAAACATAGCATAAATGTTCAATTTTAATATAAGAATGTAATAAATATTGTCATCGTGATTTTAATTGTAGATAGCAGTTAACTATTTCCACAACAGGAAGCATTTAACCATGCAGTTTACCATGTATGTAGTGATATAAATCCATTGGACATTTGGCACTTCTGGTCTTCATCCAGTGCAAGCTAAATTGTTTACCAAGGAAAAAAAACTTTTATTTGTGTAATGCAAAACTGACTTAGACTTAGATACAATGTATCAAATCTAATACTTTTATTACTCGGTAGTGTTTTATGTACTGAAAAGGTTAATGTTAATAAATAAATATTTGTTTAAAATTTTTGTTTATTTTTTCCTCCCTCCCTCGTAGGTTTTGAATTTTAGGGGTGACGTTGAACGTAGAATTAACTTATCTTATACGTATATTAATTCCATTTCACATATTTTACACCTTACGTATTTCAATTCTTTAAAAAAAAATTCTGATTCTATGCTTTTGATGGCTGTGGCGGCATCTCGTTTAATCCTGTACTGCGGACTAGCACAGTATAAGTAAGGTAATTGTAATAAACTCAGGTCTTTTAAACGCCCTTCTAAACTTGTATACCCCTTTGCAATCAAAGCCATCAATTACATAAACTGTAAAAACTAACTGTAATCAAAACAAATCGGTAGTATTTGTGACATTCTAGGCTCGACGATTAACCGGTTAGCCGGGTACTCGTTGACAACACTACTTTGAATAAGTTTCGAACTTCTGATTGCACACTACTTTTCACTGAGGGGGGGGGGGGGGTCATATCACGTGCGCTAAAAAAACAAAAATAATAGATAATAGAATAATTTTAAAACATCAAAGTAATAAATGAAATCATAAATTTAAACAAATGCAAATTTCGAAATTGCGACCCCTTTACTTTTCTTCTTCTATTAGAAAGCAAAAATTGGGTTTAAGGGAGGCAGACATTTTGGACAACCAAAGTAGTGCGGAAAGGAAAATAGTTTTTGGAGACATGATTAGTTTTAAATAAGAATGTAGATTTTCTTATAAACCTTTCATCTAAGTCGTTTGATGTCCTGAATGAGTTATGATAATAAGTTTAGTGCAGTTAAATGAAATACTCAAGAAATGCAAAGACGGTACTATTTAGTTTGTATGGAAAATTTGCACTCTTTGTTTACAAAGACCTTTGAACTTGATCAAATATCAATATTCCCATCGTAGGTGCTCTCACGTTTCTTCGACTCTTCGTTTAGAAGCTGTAGGCTTGAACTAAATAGACTACTCCCTTAAAGCCGCTGCCATTATTTGTCTCTAACCTCTCTCGGGGAAATTATCGGTGATTAGTGTGAATTCCACTACTGTTGAGTTTAACAGTGTCGAAATCGGACGAGAATTCTTGGCATGATATTGAACAAAGTAATAATAATTTAATATACAAGGTTTAACGAATGATTTGTGATGTTTATATGTATTTTTTTTCATATCACACATTTCAAAAGGGTGGCCTTTCAATACGTTTCGATACCTATAGAGTTTGTTTGCTTTGTGCTCATAATGACATAAAAGATGAGCTCCATTTTATTTTGAAATATCTATTTTACACAGAAGAAAATGTATATTAAAAGATGGTACTATAACATGAACAGACCGAGTATGTTTTATTGATTTACTTAGTTAAAAAGTGTGAAAGAAATGTGTATACCAGACCTGTAATTCAGGGAAGTATTTAGCCAAAGCGCTTTACAACGAAATAGTGCATAAATATGTACCTTTTAGTTTAAAGAATCAACAAATGCTAGTTTTTGTTTTCTTTTGGTAAATTACGTTCAACACAATAAATTAAAAAGTAAATAAGTGATTGTTTATTGCAGTGTACGTCACATGTAATGCAAATATTACAAATATGATACAAATACAGTTGCATGAAAAAATGGCACTCTGCCCCCCCCCCCAAAAAAAGACCTGAAAGTATAATTTTTAAAGTTTTCGCTAGCAGTTTTTCACTTCACTATTATACAGTACATTCTAAGGTTCGCGAATCATCATTCTGGCTTCTTTCAAGGACTCGTCGAGCCAGGAATACCAGACAACACCAGCTTTATATAGTTTGCTGTCGTATTCTCCGTTCAGGTTCGCTTTATAGCAATTATTGAACCACCATCCCCCGTGATTGTTCATGGAGCACGTGATCGTGTCACTCATATCGTTATCAGCATCATAGGTGGTGAAGTACATGCCATTATGGTATGAAAAGTCGTCTCCTAACAAAAAATTTAAAGAAAGAAATCAGAGGATTAAGGATAGATTTAAATCCAACAAGCATTCATTCTTCACATTAGCTTTTCCCTCGTATAGTCATATAAACGGATTATCAATTATATGAATTTAGCATGATTAAGGTGGAAAAGGAATAAATATCGCTTATATAGTATTTTATATACTTCTAAATTGTCCAAAATGTTTTACCTGCTTCTCCAGAGTATCCAGAAACAGTGAGTTTATACTTATTTTCCTCAGTGTCCACAGAAAAGTTACTGTACTCTGCGTAGTTCCATTCTCCAGTAGAATTCTTTAGATCGATCCGCAGGTAAGTTAGACCATTCTTTGTTAACAGATGGATGTTATCATTTCCTGTTTAAGGATACGTTATTTGAGCTAAGGTCGTGTCTCCTTAAAACAAAAGGCCCCAGGGCCACAACGCTCATTTGGGTCACCTTGGCCCTGCTGTTCTTCAGAAGAATTTTCCAGTCTTTATTCACATATTAAAAAAATTGACCCCACATTGTGAAAATCAAAGGATCATGACATTACCAAACTTGAATCAAGAGGGTGCTTCATTATGAGAATTACTAGTATATACTTACATGCTCTTCCTGTTTCAGAGAAGAGGATTTTTAAAAATGATTTTGTTCTTGTATACCATCTGGCTCCTGGGCCGCAAACCTTAGACGAGCTCACTTTTTATCTCAATCATCTCACTTTTCCACTATTAATTCCTTTTGTAAACGTGAGACCGAGATCAAAAATGAGCTTTTCTCAGATTTATGGCCCCAGAGCCTGATCCCCAATTTTAGCCCTACCTTAACCATAGGGTCCATAATTTGAGGGTAAATAAATCCACACACTAGGGAATGTTATACAACTTAAAGTGGCCCTACAACTCTTCGGAAAAAATGCTTAACTAATTTCCTATATATTCTCATATAAGAATAAATCATATTGTGTATTCACCCTAACCATCCCCTACCTCTAGATCTGCGATACCTGAGGATGCTTATAATTTCATTTGACTTATCATTGTCATTCTGTTCTTTAGAAGCTTTAAAAATACTTTTTCATGTATATTCCCATGAATACTTTGATACTCAATTGTGGAAATACCCAACCTCGGGAATTTGAAAAAATAAGAACTTATGTTTATCAGATTATTTTCATTGATATTCCTCTGTTCTGGTCCGGTGGTTCTTGAGAAAAAGATTATAACATGACTCAACCGAATCACTGTTTCCTAATCATATCCCATTGAGAGACTATACGGAAGCCCTTTTAGGACCTATTAAAAATACTTTTGTCTGCTATAAAAGCTGTGTGATGCGCAGAGTGTGTGTGTTGTCTGTGTCTGTGCTTGTCACTCTCGCTTTCAGCACCATCCCTGGCTAGCAGTTTGCTGTGAAAAGGAAGCAAAAAAGGTAAGTCTTCCCTGCCAGGTACAGCCTCTCCACAGTTAGACCTATGTGGCCCAGAAATGGGATCCTCCTCGAGGTAGCAGATAGAAATTGGGTACCTTGCGCCCCTAAGCAGAACCACAAGGTCTTGGAGGAGACTAGGCCCCTAAATGCACGGCATGCATGGCCCACCGGTGTGTGGATATGCCCTGGTGCCTGCAATCCTAGTCCCCAGCTATGGGTACATAGCAACAAACTGCTGCCTTGTGATTGCCTTTGGGAGAAGGAAAGGCTAAGGAGTAAACCCTACAGAAATCCGCTAGGGTAAGGGCGTTGGCGGGGTAAGGCAGTTACCTAGAAGTTAAACTCTAATTTAAAAATCACGGGCAGATCTAGACTCGTCAGCCATGGAAAGCCATAGATCTAATGGAAGGAAACCATAAACAAATTACCCTGGTCCTCCAGGTTGGGGGTTGGGCAAGAGGGTAATCTCCCCTTCCTTTAAAACCATCGATTACGGTAACAAGGACTAGAAATATTTCTACTAACGTCGAGTTTTCAGCGTACCAGCAGAATACTGCATGTTTGACTGTGAACAGTGAAACCCGACAGGAAGCTGTCCACACGAGAAGTATACTGAACACACAAACTAAACTGAGAGTCGGTTTCTGGAACGTATGTACAATGTATGAAACAGGTAAACAGGCTCAAGTTCTGAGAGAGATGAAGGAAAACAGGTTACATGTACTAGGCATAAGTAAGTGTAGATGGACAAATTGTAGGAAGAATATTGCCAGTACAGGTGAAGTTATTGTGTACTCTGGAAGAGGGGACAATCAACATCATGAGGGAGTAGCAATCATCCTAAGTAAAACAGCAGCAAAAGCATTAGTAGAATACTACCCTGTAAACGAAAGAATCATCAGAGTAAGACTGAAAACAAATCCTGTACAGACATCTATAATACAGGTCTATGCCCCTACAAATGAAGCAGAAGATGAGATTAAAGAGGAATTCTATAGGGCTCTACAGGCCGAATTTCAAAGCAAGATCTGACGATCATCATGGGAGATCTCAATGCAAAAGTTGGAAGCGATAATGTCGGTTATGAAAGAGTTATAGGGAGGCATGACTGTGGAAGTATGAATGAGAATGGCAAATACTTTACGGAATTCAGTGGAAACAACAACATGGTCATTGGTGGAACACTGGAACACTGTTCCAGCATAAGGGGATACACAAACTCACATCGGTGTCACCTGGAGGGAGAGATAAAAACCAAATCGACCACATTGCTATCAATGGAAAATGGAAAATATCTTTACTAGATGTAAGAGTGAAGCGTGGTGCTGATGTTGGAAGTGATCACCACCTTGTTACTGTCAACATAACCCTCAAGCTGATGAAAGTAGCACCAAAAAGCAACATTAGGCGAATAGATACAGGCAAGCTAAGAGAAAACAAAGTGAGAAAAGACCTTAGATTATAGCTTAAGAACAGATTTCAGGTCTTGCAATATGGTGATGTTGAAAATGAGGAAGTGGTTGACGAGCACTGGGGTAAAATCTGCAACTTGTTCGGTGAAACAAGAACGAAGATTCTAGGGTTTAAGAGGCAGGTACATAAGGAATGGATTACACCAGATACTTGGAAAATCATTGATAAAAGAAAAGACCTTAAAACTAAGTTATGTATCACCCACTCTGAAAGAATAAAAGGGAAACTAAGAGAACAATATTCCAATTTTAATAGAGATGTAAAGAAAGCAACAAAGAAAGATCGTAAAAGCTTTACAGAAGGTATGACAAGAGAAGCTGAGAAAGCTGCTTCTGAACATAGAATGGGAGATCTCTATCAAATAACAAAAAAGTTGAGTGGAAGGAAAAGAAAAACAAACTTGCCTGTGAAAGACAAGCAAGGCAAGCTTATTACATCTGAAAGAGAACAAGATGAAAGATGGAGAGAACATTTTGAAGAAGTGTTGAATCGCCCAGAGCCTAACAAGCTGACACACATACAGGAATCTGACACTGATTTAGAAATTGAAACAGAGGAACCATCTAAAGCTGAAATATACAAAGAAATAACATCCCTTAAGAACAACAAAGCACCTGGAAATTACCAACTGCCAGCAGAGTTATTTAAAGAAGATCCAAACCTAGCAGCTCACATTGTACACCCATTATTCACCAAGATCTGGAATAATAACACAATACCTACGACATGGTCCAAAGGAAATATCATCAAACTGCCAAAAAAAAAGGAGATCTAACTAACTGCAATAACTGGAGGGGCATCACTTTACTATCAGTACCTAGTAAGATTTTCAGCAGAATAATAATCGACAGAATTAAGACTGCAGTCGATGCCAAAATAAGACAAGAGAAAGCAGGTTTTAGGAAAGGAAAAAGCTGTTGTGACCAGGTGTTTACCCTAAGAAACATTATAGAGCAATGTACAGAGTGGCAAAGGCAGCTTATAATAAACTTTATAGATTTTGAAAAAGCCTTTGACAGTATACACAGAAAGCTTGTGGAAGATCTTAAGGCATTATGGAATATCATCAAAGATATAGTAGAACTGATTAAAGGTTTTTACTTGGAGCTTAATTGCTCTATAGGCAGCTCAACAGATGCATGCTTCATAGTAAAATCTGGCATGAGGCAGGGCTGTGTGATGTCAGCTCTCCTTTTTATACTAGCAATAGACTGGGTACTGAAATCAAACCTTAGTGGCGACAACACAGGAATAAGATGGACTCTTTTTACCAGTCTTGAGGACATAGACTACGCAGATGACTTGGCCTTACTGTCACATCTAGAAAAGCATATGCAAAGTAAAACATCAAAATTACAGAGTAACGCAGAAAAAAATTGGACTGAAGAGCAATACCAAGAAAATTGAAGTTATGTCATTAAACACCAAGCAACCAGCAAGAATACAGGTAGATGGAAATAACCTGAGCAACACAACAACATTTACCTATCTTAGCAGTATAGTAACATCAGATGGGAGTGCGGACAAAGATATAAAGGCCAGACTAAGTAGAAGGACAAAAATAAGAATGTATAACGGCTGCGTCCTGTCTGTCCAACTCTATGGGGCAGAATGCTGGAGAATGACAGGAGACACATGCATACTTTCTAGTTTCCACAATGGATGCCTCAGAAAGATCATGAGGATTTTCTGGCCAAATAAAATTACCAATGTGGAACTCCATGAGAAAGCAAACACAGACGATATCAGAACTTTATTGACAAAACGGAGATGGTGATGGAAAGGGCATGTGTTAAGAAAACCAGCCAACAACATCACCAAAGTAGCTCTTAGATGGACACCAGAAGGGAATAGGAAACCTGGTCGGCCAAAGAACATTTGGCAAAGGACTGTGGAAAATGAAATGAGAGACCACAAACTAACTTGAGGAGAACTGGAAAAAATGCTCAAGAGAGAAGTGGAGAAATCTAGTCCTTGCCCTATGTACCCACGGGTATAACAAGGACTAGGTTGGTAGGTAGGTAAAAAATACTTTTGAATTCGATATATAACAAATTGTCGATTTTGTTATAACCAATTTAACTCCTTATAATAATTTTTTGAATTTGTAATAACGAATTAAATTTGTTATAACATATTTGTTGAAATCGTTCGTTATAACAATTCGACAATTCGTTATATCGAAATCAAAAATAGTTCTAAATGGGCTTCGGGATTCGTGGCTCTTCTTTTGAAAAAAAAAAATCTGAATTCCTTTACCCGAGGATGCTTTGGGCTATTTAAGCTGATGCTGACACTGCGTCTCCGGAGAAGTCAATAAATGGTTTACAGAGGGACGTTGTAGAAAATCTTATCAGAAAACCTCACCTGAGATCTCAGCTCAGGTGAAGTAAAATGAAAGCTAACTTATGCCAAGACTTCAAGATTACTTGTATTAAATACAAATTAATTCAGGCAGTTCACCATATATAAGTTACATCAGGTTTATTGCTACTCTCATAACAACAACCTGAAACTAATCGTGATAAAAAGCCTAATACAGGTTATATATATATATATATATATATATATATATATATATATATATATATATATATATATATATATATATATACAGTGAAACCTGTCTTATCCGACATGCTGCGGGAAATAAAATCAATGTCGGATTAGGCAGTGTGTCGGATTATCCAGTGTTGAATATTTCTAAGCATTATCATTAGTGTCAGATGACTTCATACAAAAAAAAATCATTTCTCAATAGGTTTAAAGTACACGTATATTTAATTGGCATAGTGTTTGCATAATTGTGTGTTTCTTTGTTGTATAAAATATACCCGATTAGCATTTCTTTGAGAAACAGCGTTTGTGACACAGAATTAGTAACTCTGTAGTAATATACGATGATTTTTTTTTTCATGGACAAAACAGATGGAACTGCCGATGGCTTCGCGATGTTGCAATTTAATTTTTACTTTAATTGACAGTGCAGTAGATGAAAGTAAATATTTCGTCTACCTTCTCTACACAGTGGTATTATTTTTTTTTTCAACAGATTTTCGTCATTGTTTATTTCTCAACATTGACTGTGCTATTAATAACGTCACGCGACTTTTTATACGAACGGGACAAAACTCTAAAACATGGTGATTGCGATTGAATTTTAATCAAACAGACGTATTGGTTATATTTTAAAATTTAATGGACAAGTTAACGCGGTAGTTTTTGCTTCCAGCTAATCTTTTATGTGCACAGCCTCGCTTTATTCAGTGTATATTAACTCGGAAATGAAACGTTTTCCATTAGACAAGATGCTGCCTTCAAATTGTGTATTGTGTACATTTTACACAGTAGTTCGCCGTACTCGTTTTTTATTTTCATTACATGGCTTTACGAAGGACTCTGACTGCATATTTTATTTTAATGAAATTAAAAATCTTATTTATTCTGTAAGGTAAAGGCGATCTAAATATCATGTACTATTTTTTTTTTCTGTGGCGTGGATGCTATTTTGTCAATGCGAGAATAAAATTGATAACTACAAAGAGAAATGATTGCCTAATTTTGAATTTCAAAAACTGTTCATTTAATGCTTAGATAAACACTTTCAAACTCGCACGTGTAATTAACTACTCTCTAAGAAGACCAATCTTATCACCAAACGGGACGTTCATGTTACCTGGCCAGCGGCTAATTACGGTACACCAGTGTAATTATGTCGGATTACTCAGGTGAAATCATAAAGTAATTATCTAGTTCTGTTGACAAAAAAGCGCCGGAATTCGGAATGTACAGTGGTCGGAATATACAGTGTTTTATTCTATGTAAATTATAAAGATTTTTTGGGGAATAAAATATGAGGTCGGAAAGTCCAGTGTGCCGGATTGCACAGTTGTCGGATTGGACAGTGGGCACTGTATATATATATATATATATATATATATATATATATATATATATATATATATATATATAATAGTGGATCCTCGTAAATCTGGTGTTGTATCATAGAATCCCCTCGCATATAGTTTTTCCCAACGGAAAAATGAGCCCTGGTTCGCCTGAATCAAATGATGAAGAAATCGAACTTATCAGATCAAAGTATACTTTGCTATTTTTCCTATAGGGGAAACTGTTACTTTATCAATATATATAATTTAATTTATATATATTTTACCTGTGTGCCAGTGATCCAGGTAGCATTTCAGGTATCGTAACTTACATTTTATTGGAAAGGTAAGTGTGATCGCCATTACTATGTTTGCGTTTTAAATTTAATCTTACCAAGCCAAAATTCAGAAAGTAAGGAACCAAATCCATTTTTGTAACTGGACCAACTCCTGTTAAACAACACAGAGCCGTCCATTCTTCTTTGTATAACCTACAAATTGAAACAAAAAAACTTTGAATACCCTACAATGTAAATTCAACGTAACATTGTATAACATTCAACCTGGCCTACGATGGTTGATCTAAAAGTAATGTCACAACCTCTATAAAATATATAATATTGAAATGATATCAAGAAAATTTTAATACTAGTACCCCTATCTATTATATTATTTATCATCTTATAAAATACTTTCTAAAATATTAAGATAATCACAGCGTTAGGTTTTAATTAACGCTTCACGGAAATAATGTTAAAGACGTCGATGTGACCTTACTTTTCGGCACTCCTTTTCAATTCATCCGCAAACATTGTTTAACACAGAACGTAAAACCTTGTATAACATACAACGTAAAACGTTGTATAAGATTGATTTAAAATCTAATAATTATTGTTTTTTATGATTTAATTTTTGCATGATTTCTACCACCATCGGACTAATTTGTGTTTCAAAATATATAATAAAATATGTGTAGATAAATTATAAACGTTATATAGTAGATGTATCAATAGTCTTTACATGTGCTTGGATGATTAAAGGTTGATTAACTAGAAATTCGTCTTTGATGGATGCAGTGCAGCACAGTCATTAAAACTTCGGTATATCTTTAGATTTTATATCATAAATGGTTAGTTTAATTCCTTTGCATACTTTTATTGAGTTACAAACTACAAAATGTAGTCAATTACTCACAGTCCACATGTAGTTTCCACGGAAACACTTAACTTCCATAAACTTTCCATCAACAGTTAGATTATAAACACCTGTAGAGTCAAAGCAAGCACATGAATCGGAGCATTCTGTAATTGTAAAGAAAGATTGTCAAAATCTTAAAACAATACAATGCATAAATTGAGTGCACATATTATTGCTGTTTTTGAAAGCTACCCAAGGAGTACAATGATCAACAAGCACAATTCAAAGCTTAAGGCTGCTCATTCCTTGTTTTGAACCAAAAAAAAAGCACTAATTGTATTGTCATATGATTCATTGATGAAATGGATACAAATTTGTTTGCCAACTTTCGACATATTTCTTGGTTGTAACGTTTACATATGCTGAAGTCCAAGTCGAACAAAGCGCAGGTAGCCAGATTTCATCGAATGAAGAAAATAAACAGAACACATCTTATTACATGTAATTTAGAAGTTCCCGACTATTTTTGGTCGAATGTTGAAAAAATTTTATGTCGCATTTTTTCTGAAATGCAGATGAATATAATTTATTTATGATTTCTAGAGTGCTGGATTTCATTCAATCAAAAAGCTAGGAATCATTCAATCATATACTGATAGAATCGGTTTTAGTGAAATTGGTAAAATCATATACATTTTAGGAAACTTATTGACACCGAAAACAAGATTTTTAATAAATAAGTACAATATGAATTTGTATTGCCTCTTACAGGTCCTAGAAATAGAGAGGGCAATTATGTGGTTTATTATATGATTGAATAATTCAAAACTCTCTGATTAGCTTAGATTGCAGATTGTCGAGATAATTAACAATTATTGCTTTTTGAGGATAGTACCATAATTTAGTCACCTGAGGAGTATACAATATTCACCGAGCCCGAAAGGCGAGTTGAACACGTACTTCAAGGGTTGCTATAACATAGTATTGAATGAAAAACAGCAATAATTGTTTTACTATATGATTCAATTTTTAAGGAGGTTGGATCCTGTTATCAAAAGTATTGAGAATTTTTTATCAAGTATATTTTTAGAATCTATACACATAGCTTAATTAAAAATCAAAACAAAAAATGAGAATCAATGCGCTTCTTTTGGCACTAAGGAGCATTCCATATGACCTTTTAGCACTGTAATTACGTCTAACACACAAATCTATTTTTCAAAGGTTTTCCTCTAATATTTTTTATCCAAATAAATTATGGGAACAATCATAGTCTTTTTTCATCTTCAATAGTCACATTAAAATTCGTGACAACAAAAAAATATCAAAATACTTAATCAATTATTTGACGTTTCTGCATTCAAAAAATGTCATTTTTGGCATTAAAAATTTAACAAGCAATATAATCATTTGAAAGTAATGACATTTTTCTGAATTTAAGCAGAATGGTTAAAATTATCTTATATATTCAGAAAAGAAAATTAAAAATGGGGGTCTGTGACGTTAATTTTTAGATATTACTAAAAGATTGTTAATTTTGAGCTTAATTGTTCTATTTTTTTTAAGGCACTTTCACAACATTTTTGCTATATTTGTCAAATATGATGATGGAATTCATGACAGTTACTTTAATATATACAGTATTTAGGACCAGCATAAAACATTTCACTGCACAAATAACTCTTTGTGTAGGCTGCATGTAAAAATAGGAATCCAAAGTTAAAAATACTTAAATTACTTCTAAAGAGAAAAATTGATTATTTTCTTCTAAAAATAACCCTTTCCCCACAAAATATAGTTCCTCATTTTATGCTTTCAGAATGGAATCCGATCATGGGGGTTTAATTGAATGTAGTTTAATTAGCATTGTAGAGTCCAAATTTATTGTAAGAACTTAAAAACTTAAACATTATGCATTTTTTTTTAAATAGACGTCAAGACAAAAATCTGCTCCAAAGCTCAGGAACGAACCTCTTTAAATGATGCAAATTCGTTGAGCATCTTGCTGAAATCCTAGCCAAGGACAATAGCAGAGGGATTCGCGGGGTTAAAATAAGCACAACTAGTTGTCCTTATTTGGAATTTCTTAATCTATTTTTTTTTGGTGCGATGTAGAAAAAATATTTTGTTTTTGTTGGATCTTACCTAATCAGACAGGTTGGAATTATTCAGTCATATAATAATACCGAAATGTTCACCTAAACGAGACCCTCCAGGTGAACATGACATTTATTATTTTTCTACATTAGATCGTAAAATACATCGAGAACTTCAAAATTGATACAATTTATTTTTGAAATTTTATGTCCCCTGCACCTCACCTTGAAAATAACATTTACAATGATTGTTTTTTCTTTGATTTATAAATTAATTCAATCGGTTATGAAATTATTTCACTCAACCCGACTTCCAAGTGAACATACATTGTTTTCCTATATCGGATCAAAAAGAAATCAAAAAATTCCAAATTAATGCAAAGGGATATGTTTATTTTAACCCCGCTTCTCTCTTTGCATTGGGCTGCGACTTCAACAAATGTAAACTTAAGAAAGATGGCAAGGTTTGGTAATTAAGGAGTCATATAATAAAACAATTATTGCATTTTCAGTCTCTATCACTATTTAGCAACCAAATTCGAAATAGATATTGACCTTGGCTTTCATGCTTGGTGGATATTCTACTTATTCTATTTAGCAAAATCGTTGTATTACCCCCAAAAGAGCAATAATTTTATAAAACACTAGACAAAAGTAAAACCGGTCACAATATTTTCCAATTACTGTACAGTAGAAAACCGATTATAATTTATGGTTGTCTTCCCTCAGTAGTAATATCTGATTAACCTTTCTTTGTCTTTTTCAAGTAATGTATGCCACCTACATGTAGCCTCATGCAAGTCTCATTCTATTATTGCACATGCAGTAGTGATCAAATGACATCAGTGTCCATATTTCTTAACAAATGCTGTACAGTCACAACATATTGATCTGTTTGTTTTATGGCATACACATTTCCAGACAAAATGACGATATAATGTTTAATAAATTAAACGATACACAAATATTCAGGGTCTTTTATTACACAAATCTGATATTATAGATTACGAAAATGATCAATAAATATTAATTTTATTACAGATTTACGGTGTGTGAAATTAATTCTACGTTTGACGTTTCCTAAAAAAAAAAAATCAAAACCTACTAGCTAGGGAGGGAGAGGAACCTTAAACATGAGATTTTATTGCACGGCTCACATGAATCAAAACACTGCGAATACAAGTGCATGTATTTGTTCAACATGTACCTATAAGCATATTGTTCATTTGGTTTTTTTTCCTGATGGTTAAAAATTGATCAATACAAGTCCCAAATAAACTTCCTGGAGAGCCTGTGAATTCTGACTGTTCCTATACGGAATGTACACTTTACTTGCTAAAAGTAAAAGCAAACAAGATTTTTTTTTCAATGGGGAATTTGTTTCTTTTTTTCAAAACAGCAATTTCTTCGAAATCTACACGCGAATGAAGGTGACAGCAAACATGAAATTAATTTTGGACAGTTTTAATTAAAGAGATGTTTGCACTGCTAAAATATTGTTCAAAGAAACACACTTGCTGCATGCGATAGTAATGTAAACGGTAAACAACATGAAAACTAAATAGGGATAATCTGGAAAAAGTCTGGCCATAATCTAGCAGGACAAAATATCACAGACTCATAGCGGTCATTATGATGGTTGGTGAAATCAGTAGTTTTGTATCTAAGCTGTACACACACGCACGCGCGCGCTAAGGCCAACAATATATTTTCTTTGTTTGATGTACTCCGACAGACTCATCAAACTTGCCCCTACCCGATCTTTTTTTTTCAGTACTTCAGTTTTTAATATTTTTTTTCCGTTTATAGAAAAATACAGTTTGTCTGACTTGCTTTTTTAAAAAAGTTTTAGGATCCATCTGTCTTTTTTGGTTTTTGCTGTATTTTACAAACATACAAACTATGCTGATGAAGTTTAGGTAAGAGTCATGGAGAATAAATGTGTAAATCTGTGATTTTTCGTAAAATTTATCATTGTGTTTGATAATTCCTAAAATAAAAAAAATAAATAAAAAACCAACTACCTTTTGAAGATATATGGGGTCGGAGTACATCAAACAAAAATATTTTTAATAATGGCCTAAATATAACATTCCTATCATTAGCTTGAAGTGATTGTATAACTTTTACACTAGTATAATTTTCTTATAAGTATAAATCTAAGTCAGGTAAAAGGTTATTGAAGTATTCTTACGTAAAGGTCACATGACAAAAAAAAAATATACAAGTTAATAATGTCGAAGGATGGGAAAATATCGAAAATAGAAAGGTGGTCAAAGGTCATATTAAAAGGGTAGCTTATCCTAGTATCTTCTGAAAGTCAAGTAATAAATATATGCGTATTTAATATAAGCATCCCACTTCCCATGGTTTAAAAGAAATATTAAGCTAAAAAAAATGAAAACTTAAAATGAAAAGGTGAACACGGAGGTCATTGAGTAAGAAGGTTTGGTATTTTTAAAAGGGTCTATGCATGACCTTAAATTCTCATCAAAGCCTAGTCTCTCGATCATGATTCAAAAGATATACGATGTGACAAAGAATAAACAAACAAACAACAAATAAAGTGATCCATTCGTACTTATGACTCTAATTTGTATGCAACAAGGAAAGGTCCTGTTGTAAATGTTAACTGTGTGAATATATATACAGTTATTTATTCGTTCAAATAAATACAGAGTAATAATTATACGAATTTAATAATTGCCTGTACTCACCATTAGCTTTCTTGATTTTCTGTGGATTGAAGAAAATGAAAAATAAATTGAAAAACTCTATATTTGATATTTGAATGAACTTTCAATATGGAATGACTTCAATTAAATAAGGGAAAAGAAGAATTATTTTACATGAAGCTTGAATTATTTTTTTGAAATGAGTTTTGGAAAGAAGATGTCTGTGTTTAAAAAGGTGTTTTCTAAATTTTGGCCTCAAATTGGCCTATACCAAATAAAAATTCTGAAGCCTTATTTCAGATATACAGGACAACACAAACCACATTATATATATATATATATATATATATATATATATATATATATATATATATATATATATATATATATATATATATATATATATATATATATATATATATATATATATAGATAGATAGATAGATAGATAGATAGATAGATAGATAGATATGTATGTATGTATGTATGTATTTGAATTGCGAAAGATGCAGTAGAGTTCTGGGAACATGGGAAAAACATTGTTAAAATCAATTCACTCGAATTGTCCTCTTAGATGAAAATGAGGTCTGAAAACTTATTGCTCATCAATCTGCAGGACCCCACTCATAGAATTCGAAAAGATGATTTGGATACTGCGTAAAATGTAGTTTTCGGTCTCAACTGGCCGCTCAGTTTATCCACAGGACACCACCATCATATTCAAAAAGATTTTTGGCATGCGTAAAATTTTGGAGAAAAGTACTCAAAATTTTGTTTTGCGGCCTCAATTGACCTCCCGGATGAAAAATCTGCAACTTTTTTACACATCTGCAGGACATAGCAAATCAAATTCCTAAAGATGACTTGGACATTGCATAAAATGTAAGAGAAGCTCTGGTAACAAGGTTTTCGTAAATACATTTTTTCGGCTCAATCTATTGTAACATGTCGTATTACTACACAAATCTTGTGTTATATTTGATAAAACTTGTCGTTCATATTAAAAATCATGTTATTCTTATTCGAAAACTTGCTATTCATATTTGTAATCTTGTGATTCATATTCTAAATCTTGTGATTTATCTTCGAAAATTGTTATTCATATCCCTAAACTTTTTATTCATATGCGAAATCTTGTGATTTGTATTCGAAATGTTGATATTCATATTCGAAAACTTGTTATTCATATATGCAAAAATCTGTGATTCGTATTTGTAATCTTGTTAATTATATGCGAAATCTCGTATTATCAGATTATCGCATATAAATACATGTAACAAGATTTTCGAATATGAATAACAACTTTCTGCATACAATAACAGTTTTAGAATATTAATACATGTATCAAATTTTCCCATATTAATCACAAGATTTTCGCCTGCAAATTACAAGATTGTCGAATAACAAGTTTTTGCATACCAACACGTTCTGCAGTATGAATATCTATACAAACTGAATTTTAAGCGAGACACAAATTTAGCGATTTGTTCTTGAAAATCAGTACACATGTATATTTCTTTTAGTGATTGTATAATGCCAGGGAAAACAAGTCTTACGTCCGATACAGAATGAATTGTTTATTTTAGCATCAACACTCTTGCTCATGATGCCAAAAAGCTAAAAAATACTACTCATACGGTATTAATTTTTAATATTTCAAATTGAAGTCCACACCTTGTATTTCTCAAAAATGTTCATCGACTTTTGCTTCCAAACTTTTTAATTACAAAAAATGTTCTACAATGGCTAGATATCAAACATCTGAAATATAATCCTCCTACGTGTTCATGTTCTTCACCCTACAACTGCAGGTCTGCTGGACACGTCATTACTGGTAAATATAGTTAATAATGAGGACCTTAAATCACTTATTCAAAATTTCATAAATACATGTATCATGAATTCTGTCAAAGATTACGCCAGGCGTTAATCGGGACAAATATGAAAAAGAAAACATCGACACTTGGTCATGAATGTTGAAAACGGTTGAGGGACAACATGAAAACCAACTATCTTTCTGTTTTCATTAATTCAGAAGTGAAAAAAGAATTAAATAGATTTCACGATCAATATGTACTTGTACCAGCTGACAAAGCAGGTAACAACATTGTCTTTGTAAGTCTCAATATTTTAATTGTATTTGGATTTAATTCTATAAGTGGTAATCCAACTTATAATTTCTTTTCTAAGGAGGGAATCCTTCAAGATCGTATATGCTAGTTTTAAATATTTTTAATATACCCAGCAGTCAAATTGAATTGGAATTACTATACCTATACATGTATTAGAATTCCTAAACTAAATAAATATTCCTACTAAAAAGATACATAGCGGGTTCCCTCAAATAATCCTCACCAAGATATTAACAGCAGTAAAAGAGAAACTTCAAGAATACTGTACAACGACATACTCGAGAAACGGTGTTAATCAAATGTGGATACTTAAAAACTCCAAGGAAATCACAAAATTTGACCAAAATGAAATAACATCAAAACGTACGACTTTTCAACACTTTATACAACCATTCCCAACGATAAATTAAAATCCAGGCTTTCTGACCTCATAGACACCTGCTTTTTTAATAAAAATGGAACTCACAAATTTACATACTTTGTCAAATTATTTTGTTAAACAAATTCTGCTTTAACACACAAGTACGCCATAGTTGATACTAAGAGGATGCATGGGTTTCTAATTGACAATATCTGTACTTTTGCGAGAAGTTAAGTCTTCCAGCAATTTGTTGGAATTCCCGTGGATTATAATTGCGCCCCATTATTAACAGACTTATTTTGTATTCTTATGAAGCAGAGAAACACGGACCTCAAAATTTAGAGGTGGATCAGGTGCCATGCAGGAGTGAGCATCCCCTGCCGACCTGTCATACACGCCGTGTGCTCCTTGTCATGATCGATAAAAAAAACGAATGATAATGATAAACGTGATGACGGCAACTTTTCTATCCTAAACTTTCCTTATTTATATAGAATATACCACTATCACCTACAAATGGAGTTTATGTCTCCCAGTTGATTCGATACGCAAGAGCATGTTCTACGTACGAACAATTTCTAAAACGAGGCAAACTATTAACAAATAAGTTGGTGATACAAGGATATCAACAGTCTCATTTAAAGTCAAGATATCACAAATTCTATGATCGACACAATGACTTTGTTGGCAAATACAGTATATCATTGAGTGCAATGGTGACCGATGTTTTTCATTCAAATTGTTACGCCTTTATTTTCACAATGAATCTTCTACGGATTTCCGTTTGTCTGATCATGACAAGGAGGTCATGGCAAGTGTTATTCTTACTTACCAATGGCACCTGATCCCACCTCTGATGTTTTTGAGGTCCGTGTTTGCTCTAGCTGCTCCAAATGTTCAAATGGACTTTTGAGCTTGGTTACTGGTCGTAATCTTCATAATTCATATAAATCAAAGGATAATCGCATACAAATCACAAGGTTATCGAATGTGACTATCAATCATTGAATATAATTCAACTTTAAGAATATGAATCACAAGTTTTCGAATATGAATAACAAGTTTTATCAAATATAACACAAGATTTATCTAATATTGCAACGTTTTACGCGCCATTCCAAACGACCTTATGAAAATTCCATTATTGCACATTTACAATGCAAGTCATTACCAATTATATTTCAAAATATGATTTTGTTTTCTGTGTAAAAAATGAGTTGTTGAAACCAGGTTTTTATAAAAGAAAAAAAAAGTTTTAGAAAGAAGATATACTGACGGACGAACAGACCGGGATAGCAACAATATACTTCAACTTTCTTTTGAAACTGCAGGTATCATAATCTGTAGACTTGATGAAATAGTAGTTGACTCTTGATGAGTTTTTTCTTACTTGTTTCATTCATGAATCCATAGACCCATGCAGTTTATATTGAAAGCTTAATTAATCATGCCACGAAATCATTACCTGTAGTAATAGGCTATTGTGAAAAAAACTTTTGAGCGGTGGTAGCTTAATGCCATATTTTACTTTTTTTTAAAATCAATAATCATAATGAAGATGTATGTTCAGGAGTTTAAGTCTCTCCGTGCTTGGAGAATCATTGTGTTGAGTTTCAAATGTTGGCAGATTATGGTTTGATACTTGAACAATGAAATATTACTTTTCGCCTCCTGGGACATTAACACCATATTTCTAATACAGAACGACAAACTTTTATACACTCTATGTGGCAGAATTATGCGACTTTAAGATTTTGGTACTTGCAATTTATTTTCTACCTAGACTAAATGTGTTCTGATATTCCTGTTAACAGTTCAATTGTCAGGGGGAAAGCAATGCATTTCTGTAATTATATAAGCATTTCCTTAAGAACATTCGGGATTAATGTTATTCCGGTTCGTCCTTCTGCGCATCCTCGTTTTAAAATCTCTCTTACATTCCAAGTATTATAGCCAGTTCAACATCTGAAATATGATTGGTGATGTCCAGTCCAATTACACAGAATTTTCAAAATCACCCTGGGGGCATTTGGGTCGCAAAATTTTTCTCTACTAAAATCTGATTATTTGAGCTTCTTTTACATTTTATGCAGTATATAAATCACCTTTTGGAATATGGTTTGTGTTGTCCTGTAGATATGCAATGGGGTTTTGGAATTTTCATTTTCATAGGGAAGGAGATTTTAAGCTAAAACATATTTTTCTTTTAAAAATTAAACATGTTCTTCTCAGAAGCCTTTTAGCATTCTACGCAGAGCCAAATCATCTTTTAATTTGGTGGAAGATGTGCCATAAGGTTTGAATTTTCATTTTTATCCAGGAGGTCAATTGGGGACAAAATTTCAACAAAAAAATCAATGTTTTTCCAAGACTCCTTTTTAACAAGAATTTATGCTTCATTAAATTCTTTAATCTCAGATTGGTTATGAATTTTATACATGTACTAATGGGCCACACGCTTACATGAGCATTCCATGCTCAACTTGATACTTGTATATATATTTTTTTTTTACGAAGGTGAAAAGGAGAAAAAGTACATTAAGAGGTAAACACTATTTTTAACTTACGACAGCATCTGGTTTCAAATGATATTATTGTTTGTAAAACATGGATATATTGCTTTCTTCAAAGTTTTCATTGTACATAAAAACTTTGTAATTTTGTACACGAAGTTGATAAAAAAAAAATTCGAAAAACATTCATGTTAAGAATTGCAATTCAATTCTTTTGAAGTAGTTTTCAATAATATTAAACTAAAGAATAAGAAAGTGTGAGCCATACATGTACCTTTGTATAACGCGAGCACTTGGTCGCTACTGGACCCGACCCGTTGTTTGTGAATTCCTTCTCCCAAAGTCGACAGCGTTTGGGGGTTGTGTTACAAAGTTCCACACCATAACACATCCCTGACTGTGCACATACGGCGGCACACTGTATCAAAGGACTTCCGAGCCGATTAATTTCAAACTCTGAAAAAATGTCAGAATTCTGCTGCATCTCCATGTCTGTGGAATATGTAAAAGTAAATTCCCTGACTTCGAAAGAATACACTGGTAAAATTAAGAAAAATGTCAACATATTCATGTTTTCTACTATTTTGTGCCAGCTACTTGGTTCAAAGAAACATCATTAAAGGTTATGACCATGTTTATTGACACTCGAGTGATACAGTGTAATTATTACATTGATTTTTGAATTTCAGACACGCCGATCACGACGAAGGGTTTAAGAATGATGATTCAAAGAAAATATGCTCAAAATCGTGACACATGAGAAAATTCATGATTTACACATACTTTGAAATTCGAAAAACATTTTCATTTAATTTTTATGATATTTCATATTTTGAACAAAGGGTACCGAAAGCCCCTCGTCGTCTGATCTCATGTGATTCGTAAGAAATCATCTTTTGATCAAAAGAAAAATAATATTGTTGGTACAGAGGTAATGTTTGACCCTGAAGGCGTTCATGTGATAGCGTTTGCTTGTACTCTTTTTAATGGCAATACTACACTTCAAATACCATATATTTGTACTCTATAACACAGACATCTTGCACTTTTGAGCACGCAAATATTTATAGCAGTTGGGCTAATCATGGTCGCAACAAAGCAAAGACCTCAAATTTTTTTGTGAAAATACCTTTATTCAAACACAAATTCAAAATAAGTACAAAATGAAAGACACATATAAGGTTAAGAAAAATAAAAAAGAAACCCCATGGAAAGAACTGGAATCTTTATTCATATAAAGGGTACAGAATGCTAAAGATACCTCACTCTAGCTTCCCGCCAGAAGGCACATAAGAATGCTATGCCTTCCTTCCATTTCTTTCTATCCCTGGCCACCTGCTTTGGTGGCATATTCCATCTTTGCCAACCGGCTGCTTTTCCTTCTTTTTCGATTGTACTTCTCCATGTGGTGTTGTGTAGTATTATACAGTCTCATTGTGTTTATAATGAATGGCTTCGTTCTGGTTTCTTGTGAGTCTTAAAGTGTCATTTCTAGAATATTGTTGAACTTAATTTGTATAATCATGATCGTTACGTCCAGGGTGATCTAGTGAATTCTCGTGCTTACAATTCCAAAATTTGCTGGATATATAGTTAGTTTTTTGCGGGAAGGGGGGGGGGGGCTAGAAGACGCGTACACAGGGGGGCTGGACTTCAGAATGTTAACATCACGGTTCTATTTAAAGACAATGTACCAGTTAATGACAAACACTCTATGTTTGGACTGTAACTGTATGATTGTACATTTCTTTATTATATTTCATTGTAAATAAATTATGTTTTATTGCGATATTGACTTTTGCTGGTCTTTCGAGTTAATCTGACCCATAAGAGTGGTTTTCGAATTTTTCTCTTGAGCTATTTTTGTTGATTTTCCATGTTTTCACTCATACAGTAGCACTGTTTTACCAAACTTTTAAAAAAAAGTATCCTTATATTCTCTTTCCTTTTCCTTTCGAGATCCATATGGATTGGGGCAACACTAAAAGATAAAATATTTACAAGGGAATATATAGGACAAATCCTCAAAATTATTCTTCTCAAGAAAGCAGGGTCATGATATGCCAGCATTGATTCTCAAGTGATGCAGATTCAAGTTTGTTCCAATCATAGTCGTGCGGGAGGACGGGGTCACAATTGGAGATAGTTTTATGTAGGGGATAATGGGAATAAATCTTTCTAATTTTTGTGAGAGGGGTAGGTGGGTCATATATTCAAATATTTATACAATGTTTATTTCATTTACTCATGAATTTCTATAGGACAAGCTGCATAACTTTGATAACGATTAAAGAGTACTGTAAAACTGTAAAATGTATGAAATATGTCTAAGCCAGTTCCAGGTGGGTCCAGTGTGGTCATAGCCTGAAAAACTCATGATACTCACGTAACCATTAAGGCCAAAAGGTCCTCTCGTAATTACATAGTGCCATTTTACACCTCCTTTTTCACGTTAATTTCGATCGGACAGATCTTTGGAGTTTCCCATAGGAAAACATGGACACTGCCATTCTTTCAATAGCATTAGGGGTACCCATCTCTTACCCGCAACTTCTCCTCCTACTGAATAAAGTTTAATGATCATAACTTTCAAAGAATCTTTTTTTAAATAGTGCCATTATGCACATTCTGTTTTACGTAACGATTGGGCAGGCATTTGGAGTTTCCCATACTAAACAAAACCTGGACACTGTCATTCTTTCTATAACACTGGAGGTACCCATCCCTTATCCGCAACTCCTCCTTTACTATGAAAGAAATTTAATGAAACTTTCACAAAATCTTTATTATATAGTCCGATTGTGCAATTCCTATTTTATGTTCTGATCAGACAGATATTTGAGGTTTCCATATCAAAAAATGGACTTTGCCATTATATCATGTAAGAGCCGGGGTATCATTTGTAAGCGCAGTGCTTTAGTTTATAATGATGAAAAACGAGAACGACTTACATTCCAAGGGAATGAATTGTTCAAATCGAGAGAATGAATTACAATTCAAAAGAATGGACTGTTTAATTCTAGGGAACGAAATGATAATCTGAGAGAACGAATTGGCAATTCGTTATAACAGAATGTCAATCCAAAAGAAGGAATTGTATAATTCGAGATATCGGTTTACTTTTGCACTTTTTTGATAATCCAGATGTCCTTTCATGGCTTTCGTAGGGTAACAAGGTCACTCCACGCCAGTTGTTGCAGTCCCTTAGATCGCCCCTGAAGGTCCAGATACGCTTATTCAATCCTTGCTCCTTCACCTTAAGGGTTACAACACAATGGATTGAGGGTGACAAGATAAGTTATATTAGGCATGCAATGTTATACCTTGCATATATATTGTCGCAAGGGACAATGCATGTCGATGTTGACCTCTCCCAGCCTTGTATTTTTACCCTCGCTTTCTAGCAATTTCTTTTTTGCAATTCCTGTGACCTAAAGAGAATGATGGAGCGAATGATCAATCACAACATATAAAACAACAGTTTTCTGTTCTTTGGATTTAAATGCTTCAACTGGGTTATTGATAAGTTTTTGACATGTTTGACATTTTTGTTGACACCAGTGAAAACTTCTATTTCAACTTGAACTGTTACTTTATTTCAGTCGATAAGTGTTCTGTCAAGGACAGATTAAAGTTTAAGGTATTTTAAAAACCATTTTGACTGACAGTACTAGGATGAGGTCCTATGTTTAAGTAATATTACTGACGGTGTTAGTACAGTGAGGTAGCTAGCGAAATAAAATTACTGTATTCGAAAAAAGGCAGGGTCTGGGTCCTTCTTGAGACCCCAAGGGGGTCCAGGGCATGCAAGCCCTTGGTTGGGGGCTCACGGGGTGAAGCCCCTGGAAGTTCCTGTAATATCATGGTTTTCTATTTTTATTATCCCCAGGTATCGAAGATTATGGGTATATAGTTTTTGCTCTGTCCTTCCGTCTGTCTGTCTGTTTGTTTTACAGCAAAATTTTACTGAACTTTAACCTTGGCCATAACTTTTAAACGGTTGGTGCTAGGGCTTTCATTCTTCACTTGTGTAATTCTTGTGACAAGACCTTTCTTTGGATACCAATAACTTTGACCCTTGGACCCTTGACCTAGGAGTTTGACCTACTTTTGAAAAACTTAAACCTTGGCCATAACTTTTGAACGGTTGGTGCTAGGGCTTTCACACTTCACATATGTAATCCTTGTGACAAGTCCTTCCTTTGGATACCAACAACTTTGAACCTTTGACCTTGACCTTCCAGTTTGACCTACTTTTGAAAACTTTAACCTTGGCCATAACTTTTGAACGATTGGCGCTACGGCTTTCATATTTCACATATGCATTTCTTGTAAGAAGGCAATTTCTTGGGTATCATTAAGTGATTTTGACCATTTGACCTTGATGTTTTATTTACTTTTGAACAACTTTAACCTTTTCCATATCTTTTCAATGATTACTGCTAGGGCTTTCGTATTTCACAGGTATATTCCTCGAGACAAGACCTTATTTTGGGTACCAGCATATTCGATTTGCATTTGTGAAAGTTAGCTATAAGTTGCCATACGGAGGCATCAATACTTCACAAACACATCTTGTTTTTGGTTGAATTTCAAGGGCATTTTTTAAATATAAAGACTTACAAAAAGCAATTATATAAATTATCCATTCCCATGGTAATATAAAAATACAAATTTACTGCGTTGCACGAATTATTTTTTTAAAAAAAAAAAAAACAAAACAAAAACAAAAAAACAATCAATATTATAACAATAATTGAAAAACTTATATTATTTAAATGGATATTCGATGTTGTTGGATATCGCACTCCTAAAATTATAAATATTTAAAAAAAACTCTCTTGTGAAATATATTTCATATCAAACATTGATTTTTCTGTTCATGAATTTTTTTTATTTATTTATGATTTATTTTTTTCTATTCTCTACTAACTGTCTCTCTATTGATATTCAAAACAATATTGCAATGAAGGTACATGAAGGTGCATTTGAAATGAAAAAAAGGTCGTTACACCGGCAGATATGGTAGTAATACACAGTTTTCTACTCTACGCTCTATTTATTGCATTTTCAGCAATGAAATACTGTTATTTATTTACTGAATAAAAGTGATATTCTGACACTGTGTGGAAGGATATCAAAATGGCATTCACAGTGTGGGAATATCAGAAGTGCGGCAAAACTTTAACCTTGGCCATAACTTTTGAACAATTGGTGCTAGTGCTTTCATATTTCACACGTGTATTCATTGTGACAAGATCTTTCCATGAGTGTAAATATTTTTGACCTTTTGGCCTTGATCTTACAGTTTACCATATTTTAAAAAAATATTAACCTTGGTCGTAACTTTTGAACAGTTAATACTAGGACTTTCAAATTTCACAGGTATATTCCTTGTGACAAGACCTTCCTTTGGATATCAACAATTTTGACCTTTTGACCTTGACGTTTGACCTACTATTGAAAATCTTAACTTCGCCATAACTTTTGAACAGTTGGTGCTAGTGCAAATATATTTTGCATGTGTATTTCTTTTGACAAGGTCTTCACCTGCATACCATTAATTTTG